CAGCACTTTGCGGATGGTAAAGTCCATGACCTCTTATGGCTCGGCTAGTGTGGTGGTGGCTCGTAGACGTACAAACCTAAGAACTGACAAAAACAGGGTGAGACAGGCTGTGACTAGCAGACTTAGCCGGCACGTTCAGCCAGAAGATGTCCATCTCCGAGCCGCTGAGACCCTCAGATACCCCGGTTCCCAGCTAGACGCATCGCACAAGGCACACAGATTGCCAAAGAAACTTTGAAGGGAGCTCAAGGAGCTTTGAGAGGTTTGAAGGGAGGTTCTTGTGGTGTTGTTTCCCTGTGCATTATTGCTGGGATCGAGCGCAGCAGCTGTGACTGAGGCCCGTACACGCCAAAAAGGGTCTAGGGTTGGACTAGACTGACTTCACAAAGATGTCTTGAAGCTGAACGGGTGCTGTGAAGTGGCCATGGACTTGTTTTTTTGCCTTGGACAATTCAACGAGAACATGCTTTCATTTGTGCATGTTTTCACTGAAGACGGGATGACACCGTTTGGGACATGACCTGGACTACTACGCGAAACAAGGCAGCTCCATACATGAAAACCGTCATGAGTCCCATCTCGCCGTTCATTTAATCTTTCAAAACCTAAATGGGGTGGGATCCGCGAAAAACGGGACCTAGGCAGACCGGTGGGACCCGGATGGGACGCAGTGACCCGGAAGTAGGACGGTGACAACTCAGATGAAAGTTGTTGGGACGTATTTCTTACAAGATTGCTGAAAAATGTGCCATCCGTGGACTCGATTTCAGGATTGGAAAACATACCACACGGGGATTCGTAGTCACGCAGCAGAGGAAGATTCCACGGGAGGTCTTCCAAAAGGATTCAGATGAGTGGCGTGCACAGCAGAGCCCTCGGCTGCTTATAGCAGCAGCATAGCGACCAGCCCGTTTTCAAGTATCAGCAGCAAGGAAAGCGGCCGTAGTGAAACCGTGAAATCTACAAGCTCAAGCCGTAAATGTTGCAGTGAATGAAGACATTCTTCAAGACGGCTCCTTCTGTGTTGCTCTTGAGTCTAAATGTAATAATAGCATGACTGGCTTTGCTCCAGGCTCAAGACCGAACCATAGAAGCAGCGGAATTGCATTCGTTGTGTGCTTGCTGCGTTGAACCATGATACAGAGAAAAGAAATGTTCCTGCGCAAGAATGACACGCACAAATTGCGAGTGCACCAGTCTAAGTCAGAAGTTGCCAGCCGAATCTTTCTGTTCTGTCGTTCTGTCTGAGTTGTTACCGGGAGTTCCATTTTTTGGTGGTTCCTTTTTTTGGTTTGCGCAGACTTCGTCGACAGCTACGACGCAAAACACCATCAAAACACAATGAAACAAGACAGCGATGAAACGAGTGACAGTGAGTCAGAACTGCGGCAAGCACTCTTATCCAGAGTGGCTGTGCACTTTCTGTTCAAGTTGGTGCAGTTCTGTGTGTTAGAACGGTTGGATGTGATTCCTCCTTTGTATTTGCAACGTTGAGAGGAAATCCGTCACTGCGCACGACTCTGGAAGAGACCTTGCTGAACTTCGGTGTTTGGCTTAAATGTGGAGTGAAAAAAAGGAACTCTGCGTTTTTTCGCTTTCGCTTTGTTGAAACTTTGAAAACCTTTGTTGGTTTCTTTTCGACTATGCAGTTGTTTTGTTTCATTCTTTAAAGAGCTTTCGTTTTTGGTGCATTGAGAAGACGTCTTGTCTGCATCTGTTGGTAACGGCGCGGAGAATCTGCATACAAAAGCGGGAGTTGGAGAGCCGCAGTCTGATTGAGAGAGCTTTAAAAGTGGTTTTCAGCGGCATTGAGGTCCGCTTAAAGGCGGGGAATCGACACTGACATAACCGAAACAGATGCTTCAACGTTTTAACGGAATCGCTGTGTGTGTAAAACTGTCAGGTTTCATGTGGGCATTCGTGTTGTGACATTGTCAATTTGCTTGAACATGGCCGCAGCTATTTGCTAGCTGTATGCGAAGCCTGTTGCCAGAGCCCGCCGAATGCACCTTGGCTGACAAGGTTTGGATGAGTCAGGCTCAGCACATTGCGAGTTTGGCATTTTGCGGGTGGAAGCTGGCTCGAGATGTTGGCTTGCTTCTGTCAGAGCTACCTCGCACCATCATGTGATTTGATGCGTGGAGTTCCAGGGCGGCGGCTGCAACGCCTCGCGGAACAACCCCTAGATTGTTGCCTGGAAGAGGAGGCACACTCGTCGTGTGCTTGCGTTTTGCAAAGGGATGTTGGCCTTGAGTCGTCATGAAGAAGACATTGCTTGATAAGAGAGTCAGAAGTCAGAGGTGGAAGCCGTCCATCGGCATTATCCGGAGATGTGGTTGGTCGAACCTTTGGTTACATGGCGGCACGAGTAAACGGGGGCAATCACTCGCAGTGCAGACTGGGAAAAAGGGGGCTTATGGTGAGGTTGAAGCACAGCTGTCAGGATTTTTGAAAGAAGCGTCAATATGCAACACGACAAATATTGCATCGTCAGCTCACGAGCGGTTTCGTCGTGTTCGCGTCACTTGCTTCGCTCTCGAATGCTGTTTACGGCCGTGGCAGGTGTAGTCGTCTCTTGTTTCGCCATGTTGGGAAGTTGAGGCCTAGCAGCATCTGATGTGGGCCACGCTGCCCCAGGCTCTGGTGTCCGTTTACCGTTTTTGCATGCGCTTGCCGCTTGCCGGCTTCACGAGCCCATGTCGGGCACATGACAGGAGCTGCGGAGGAACACCCGCTCGAGCTGGATAAGGTTCTGGAAATGATTGACCGAACTACTTTCATTGAGGATTTTGAGACGCCGTTTCGAAGCCTGGGCATGGCAGCCGTTTTGTGGAACTTCATTACATTTTGCTTGCAGAAGACAAGTATCGGGTGTTGTGGTATTTGGGCTTGCCAGGCAGCGACAACGCCCAGGCGGGGGTGCTCGGCTAAGGTGGCTTGATCACCTCCGGGTTTATCCGCTTACTTGTCATTCACGGGTACAGCACATTCAGCAGCGTGTGTAGGCCCGATCCGAAGGAAGAGCCTTCAAACACGGAGGCAAGGATGATTCGTTTGTATTGCGGGCAACTACTTTAGGACGTTCAAGCTGCAGCAGAACGTGGTTTTTCAGGCTGTCCGCCTCCGGCAGTGCTACATTCGTGACAATGTGGCTTTCCTCTTGGGAAGGGCGCCAGACACGCCGCGAAGCTGGGAAGTCTGCCTGTGCGTAGAGGGTAGTGTTACGATGCAATGACTAGGTCCCATCCGCCGGTGGAGTCGCCGACCCAGAGAGGGAGAGAGTGCGCGAGAGACAGAGAGAGTGAGCGAGACCCTGCAGAAGAGAGAAAGAGAGAGAACGAGGAAGTGAGCAAGGGAGGGAGAGTAGTTCAGTGATAGGCATGCTTTTCTGGTTAGCGAATTGCAGGTTGAAGATGCTAGAGATGGCCACGCCCAGGAGACCTGAGCTCAGTCTTGTCCTAGTGACAGCCTTCTGGTAGATCCATGCCGCTCAAGTGTTTTTTTTTGAATGCTGGCGACTTGCATCACGCCTCGTCAAGTGGAGGTCTGGCGAACGTCGCCAGTGCCACGAAGGATTGTCACGGTCTTGCTGCGATTGAAGGAGCTGACCGTCTGGATGGGCTGTACACGAGGACAGGGCCTTTGACCTCGGATGTCGCTTTAACACAGGTCTGGAGTATTTCAAGAAAGTCGTGGGTTAGTTTGCCTTGCAGGAAACGGGACCGTGTGACGGAGTACATGGAGATTTTGATGCAGCAGTCCCATCTTGCTCGTACCTCAACATCCTGCCTTGAACTGTGAAAGTCTACAGGAGCCGACTTGTTCAGTTCTCGTTCAGCAGGACTCAGTACCCCTAGCACACCAACCCCAAGTAGCTCATGAGGAGGGCAGCGAGACTGTGAATTTCAGATTCCAAGGTGCGGAAGAAGTGACGGCCTCTTTAACCCAGGCTTCGGCCGACTCCTTGCCTGTGACTATGACTATTCAGGGTTAGTTATAGTTATAGTATGTTAGAGTACTAACTTGCGCCCGTCTTTTCTTGTTCAGCCGGATTTGGAGCCAGGCTGGTCTGCTTGGTTCTGGAGTCGCTGTTTGCAAGAGCGGTCTTGCACATAGACTTGGGACGCTCTCTGTGTTCCACAGGTTCCTCGAGTCAAGACTTGAGGTTTTATTTCTTGGCCCGTCGGGATGCGATCTCTCTGTCAGAAGACAGGATCTGTATCCCGTCTAAAGCTTTGAGTCAGGAGCGATCAGATTCGTTTGTCCCACGTCAAGTGGACCTCCATCAGCTCCGTGCAGTTGCGATACTCTTCAATTGCCCTTCTTGGAATGCTCGTTTCCTTGTTGCTGGAACGACTGCACACCTAAGTCACATGGCTGCTGACGGCAAATTCTGCTTCGCAGCCTCTTACAACCAGGAGGTGCTTTGCTGTCCGTGACCTGTTGGTATGCAGAGCGTCACAGCAAGTGTCAAGCTCAAGGTGTTGGTGGCGAACCTTCTTGCTTGATGTGCAGGATGTGTCCTGCAAACGCACGTTCCTTGCCGCGAAGCGGCCCCGCCACAAATCTTGCCTTGGTGGAGGAGAGAAAGCCACGGATAGCCACGGTTGTTCAAGCCGCAGCTCCCTGATTGTAGCGACAAACTTGGAAGCGACAACTCGGGTCACTGTGCGTATGATTTGCGATCGATCATCCCTGCGAGATGTTCTGTTCTAGTGAAGCTGCAGGTTGAAACTAGCCTTGTGTTTTTTGGCTTGGGTGCGTCAGCTGGCATGGAACTTCTAGGTTACCCATCCTTCGTGTCCTTCATTCAGTCTTGGGATGGCAGGAGTCGATTTGGGCTCAAGCTCGTCTCGGGTTCACACTCAGATGACACACACAATCAAGATCTGTGGCCAGCACTTGTAGGACTGTGGAGGGTCCATAGTACAGCCAAGCACTGAGTTGGAGGCCTTCTACATATTCCACGCTGGAGATTTGAATTGCTATTTGTTGAAGCAATGGCCAGGCCACGTCGTGTGGGCACCAGTTGCAGGCGTCCTGTTAGTAGATGCCCGCTTTGTTGTTAGACAAGCGTCGGCCAGTCATCGTCCTGTTGTGGTTCTGGGCTCATGACTTCCTGCTCTCACGCGTCCATGCAAAGCAATGCAAAACTCTTCGAAGAAGTGCTTATTGTGTTTGCAAGCAACATGTTGTCATAGTGGCTAGTCAGATTGCTGCAACGGTCCGTGGTCGTCATGCCTGAGGGGTCCCACCGTCTGTTTAATCTGGTTGCCACATGTACTGCAGATCCGTTTCTGCAGGTAGGTCTCACTGATCAGGGAGTTGCTTCGTTGCGCGCAGTAGGCTGTGACTGCAGTGTGTGTGTGTGTGTGTGCGTGTGTGTGCTGAAGTTGCAGCAACACTTGTCGACCAAAGCATGATAACAGAGACTATCTTGGCTCATGTACGGGCGCGGTGCAGGGACACATGCGCACACCCATACACACGCACATTCACAAAGACCCATGCTAGCCCAATGCACACAGCACAAGCAAGCTTGTTCATACCAATGCACATTCACAGCAGCTAGCACAGCACATGCACGTAAGGCCCTGCAATCCAATCAACCCACCCATACACAAGCATGCGTCAGACCGTGGCTCAATCGCTTGCCCGGAACGATGGTCCTGATGTTCTTTGCCGTGCTGTCAGATCATTCTACTTGTGTGAGCTTGCCAGTCAGTCGCCGTCTTGCTATGTCATTCATCATCGCCTGGCAATCCCTACCCTCTGATTGGTTGGACATTAACAGCGCTGTGCCAACACTATTGCCTCTGAGAGCTACTATGTAGTACGAGCTTCCAGTTTCTCGATCTCTTCGCTGTGCTGCATCGATGATGTCGAAGGGCAAAGGTGACATTCCAATGCGTGACATCGATGTGCTCAGCAGTGACTTGAGCACCCTCTCAACCGAGATCGACTTGTGGTACTAGCATGATGCGGCTTAGTGATGCACTGTCGCAATTGACTTCCTGCGGAAGAGTCTTTTTAGCTGTATTGCTTGCAGTGGAAGTGGCATTGAAAGCGAAGCAGGTGTGGCCTTCTTCTGTTGCTGTGTCCGGCTCTGTTCGCCTTCGTTCAATTCCGGCCAGCACGTCTGGGTCCCAGAACCTGGGCTCGGGCATCTGAAGTCTGACACCAAGTGCAGCTCTGCTAAGGCCCTGCGACTCGAGTTGCAGCTGCGGCGGAGTCTCGTACGGTTGCTGAAGACAAGGACCGTGCTCTCTGTGTGTCCGCAAACCCCCCCAAAAATCACTGTCCCAGCCGAGAGGCAAACTGAGTCAGAGCTGTCGCGGATAATTTGGGACTTGCAAATCCCGCCGAAGCTCAGGAGATTTCGGACAAGCTTGATGAAGCGTGGTGCTCAGTGACGTGAGCATGGTCAGGCTCGGGCCTACTAGAGTCTTCCTTTTGCGAAGTGGAGGTCCTGAAGAAAAGAGGTCTGAAGAAGGACGCCAGCCCGGAGGAAGATGACGCCAGCTCTTTGTCGGAGAGCGCCCAAAAGGCCCGACGATGCTGTCGGCCCAGTCCGGGAAAGTTGTGCTTTGCAGAGGCTGTGGACAAGGCCACGGGGAAGAAGCTGAAGCGGCGCGAGCTCAAGGCACTCTCTCACCTTCTTTCCTCTGAGTTCTACAAGGGTCATGATGCAGGCCCCGAAGAAGAAGTCCAGATCCATTGTCAAGAAAAGCTTGGATGAGGCAGCCTTCCGTTCTCGAAGTGGCCCATGGCCAAAGCTAAAGCCGCTTAGCTGCTTCTGCCCGACCTCAGCCCGACTCCGCAGGTGCTGAAGTCTGCCAGCGACGACGACGAGCGACCAAACTTTCTGCCAGCCAAGCGGGACGTTTACAAAGAGGTGCTCTCGGTTTCAAGCATCTGCTGCACCAGGCTGGACGCTAGAAGTTGAATGCATTGCACCGGCAAGGTTGGCATCACAAGACAGGAGGTGGAGAGGTATTGGAAGCGTCGTGATGAAAGTTCCAAGAACTTCGTTGACAAGTTTGTGGGTGCCTGCCTCAGTCAATTTGGTATTCGATCTAGATGACCTCAAATCAGTCTGCTGACACTTTGCAGTGTGTGGGGCTGTGTTCCAGGACCGTACTTTCTCATCATTCCAGTGTTGGTCTTGATCATCTTGTACTTGATCTACGACTCCTATGCCAATCCCCAGGAGTTCGTCACCGCGTCAATGACTGGACTCGACTAGCAGCCGTAGTCACGGAACCGTGATGCACTCGTTGTTGCACGGCCTTTGAGACATGCACTGACAAACTGTTCTGCGTGAGAGAAAGTGGCCTTGGGATACGAGCAGCAATAGGACAGTGGGTCTGTGATCTTGCGCGTGCGTTCTGCTTCCTTCTGTACACGAAAGATAGGAGTGCATTCGTTCACTGAACCATTCGGCATGCTTTAAAGTCGGCTGCCACTCGGTTCGGCTGTCAAGTATAGTCTTTACTTTCCTTCTTTGGCGTGAACTTTGTTTCGGGGGCCAGAAACTCAGAAGAGATTGGAGACGCCTGTTGACGGCAAGACCTTGCCAAGCTGACAAGGTTCGATCGTGGGATTCCTGGCAGCAGCCTGCCCTTAAATGCACGTTTGCAGGACGGGAGCAATGCTCTGCTGTTTGCCATTATCATAATTTTCCCTTGGTCTTGGTCGGATCTGTCTAGCAACGCGAAGTTTGCTATATCCCTGACACAGCAAGTCAGGACTGGGGATTGAGGGCGCAAAGGAGCTCTGGCCTGCGGCCTGGGTCCTCAAGTTCTGTGCGTGTAAGCGTCCAAGAAGTGTCCAAGGATTTGCTGCCGAGTGGACCTGAGCATGCTGACATTTTACATATGGCTTTGCTGGCTTATTGCTCGCTTTGGGCATGTGCTTGCTTTGTGAAACCTGGTATGGGACAGACCATGCTGAACAACTCCTGTTCGTGACAGGGTGGCAGAACGAGCAGAGCACAAGAAGGCAGGCAGTGCGTGGGGTGAAATTCAACATATTACCAGCAGCTGAGCACGGTATGAAGCATTCGCACCAGCTGTTCCGAGACAAGTCGCTTGCTTCATCGCCCGTGACCCCTATGTCAGCATCAGGGCAACATGCAGCATTGCAGTGGCAGCCACAAGCGTACACATGTAGCTGTGACATCATTCCTTTGATCCAATGGCTGTTCGGCTCTTCCAACGGCCAAAGTTCGCTGTTTGAAGCCTGCCATTTGGTTGTTCTACCACAATGCCACGCAATCTGATATGCAGGTGCATCCTGCTGGCATCCACAGAAGAAAGCCCAAGGTGCAAGATTGTTATTAGCGGAGACTGCTTCACGGCCTTCGCATTGCACAGTCGAGCCGAGTTTGGCACGAACTTACTCGGTCAGGCTTTTGAGCTTATCGACCGGGGCAATGCCGAACTGGGCATTCAGCCCACAGCACCGCAGCAGCATTGACTCCCCGATAGACCGCGGTGGTCACGAGCGGTTGTTCTACGCAGCTCTCCCACGCATAACTGTTTAACGGATTGGTTGGTATTGGAGCTAGAAATCTGCTGTAGCTGTGACTTCGGGATGTGCCGTCAGGTGAGCGTGCATGGCAAGATCTTCCAGGCAATGGATTTGCCGGACCAGTGTCAATTTTGCTCCATCACTAGCTCAGATCTGCAACAAGTCGCTGTTCGTCTTTGGTCTAGATGGCTGGACCAGACGGAGTGCTGCGAACTTATCCATTGCACAGTTTCGAGCAACGCATGCCTAGGCAGATCTAAGTGTTATGTAGTTTGTAACGGCATGACCGACCCTGAGCAAGAAGATGAGACAGGCACGATCGCGACTCCCTACGACTCGCAAGAAGCAGAGGAAGGGGCAGAGAGAGAGAGAGAGAGAGATCTTTTTTCCGACCCGATGCTTCCCATCCCACGCAAGAACCATGTCACTGCCACCAAAAAGTCCTGAGGTAGCACAGAGTGATGTGGTACTAGCCTCCTTGTACCAAAAAGTCCTGAGGTAGCACAGAGTGATGTGGTACTAGCCTCCTTGTACCGCGTTGTTGCTTGACGTGCTTTCCCGTCTGCAGCACAAAGCAGCGTTCCACGAGCCTTGCACGGTGACCCACTGCCGGACCAAGCCGGGACTCCCCGCTGGCCGAGTCGTCTGGACTGCAGTTGTTGACCAGTGTGTACCGAGCGAGTGGAACGCTGGCCCTCATCCCGGCATGCTAGTCCGCTACCAGACCTCAGACAGGTGCGCATGCGTGCACAGGACAGTCTGCTGCCCCCGCGGTGTATGGAAGAAGCGCCCAATATTCATGCTCGAAGAAACGAAAAGCAAGGCAGAATCCACAACCGTCTGAGCCTGCCTCATGGGAAGACAACGAATGAAAAAGACGTAGAAGGAGACGGAGAAAACTACGGAAGAGAACGAGATGTGGGAGGGGTTGAAGTAACAAATATGAGAGGAGTTCAACACGATGCGATACAGGCTAGTGGCTAGAGGGTGACTAGTGCTAAGCCGAGGATCTGAGCAATTTATAACCTACGCTATTTTTCAGAAAACTGGAAGTGCACATGCAGTCTTTGGAGGATTTGTCGGCAGCCCGAAACGTTGAAGAAGTCTTTGAGCGATGTCGCGGATCGAAAGTTTGCAGGGAGACCAACACCAAAGCACAAACACCCATCCTCCGAAAATGCCAGGTGCTTGACTCGGACATGTACAGGTGTGGTATGCAGTGAACGGCGGTGAGCTTCGAAGCTTGAAGGAAGAGGAAGAAAGCTATCGCAGCATTTTACATTCCACAGTCTTGAATACTCCCGAACTGTGACAGTTAGTGCCCTCTAAGAACCTCTGAGACAGGCAATGGGCTGTTTGTTGTGATTTTGACGGGCTGTGGCTTGCGAACCTTGCATCAGCACTGAGGTGATGAGTTTGGTTGGATGGGTGCAGCCCTTGCAAGAGGGTTTCGAGACGGTGGTGCACATGTGCTCGCCGCAGGTATGGTTCGACCGGATCATCCTCTTTCTCATTGCCTTGAATTCAATAGGCGCTAGGGCGGCTTGCGAGGGGGGGGGGGCGCGGGCCGGCCCGGTTGTGTGGGGTGTTGCGGACGCGGGGACTTGTTGCCAAAGGCCTCGCCCTGGTGGACTGGCGGAGTGATGCCAACACAGGCGCCTTTCGCTTTCCCTTTTGGGAAAGGTCGTGAAAGCGCGAGTGCTGCGCGGTGCTTTGCTGTGCAGGTTTTAACGGCTTCTACAACAACGTCTTGGACCTGGGACTCACGATCTTTTTCACCCTGGAGGGCATCTTGAAGGCTGGAGCCGCAGCTGTGTCGACTGCACAGGGGTGCGCGTGCGCATGCTAAGGTCGTTGCCTGGGGCTTCTTCTGGGACAGAAACTCTTATCTTCGAGACGTCGGCTGGCCCAGAGTGCGCGACATCTCAAGGTTCTGTAGTTGTTGTGTAGCACACACTTGTTTGTGCGAAGTGACAACATATTATCTCACTTGATCACCGAATCGGTCAGGGGATAGACTCACCGATTCAATTCGAATGATTGTACACTCCGTAGCCATTTTGGCTCAAGCTGTTCCAGCTTGAGAAATTTTGTTTCAGTTCCCTCGGATCACTCCTCGGTCATAGCCGCTCCGGGCGGCCAGTACCCCGAGTTCTACTACGACCGCTGCTGGCGGCCAGTACTTCGAGCACTACGGCTTCTCTGTCAGTTGTTGACAGCTTGAAGGAATCGCTCGAGGAATTCAGCCGCGAGCAAGTTCTCGAAGATTTTCAAATCGAGAAACCCGAGGATGTGACGTGGGGAGCCTGGAACAAACGACAATCTCGACAAATACGGAAGGCCATCGACCAGATCGCCTATTGTCGGACGGCGGACGATATTGTCAATTTGGCGGCGACTTTGTTGAAGCCGCCCAATCTCGAGGCCTTCTTGTACCTGCACGTTACCAACCGCGACGAGTCCGCGGAGCCGCTGACGGTGCCCTTCGAGATCGTCGAGGCTTCCCTACACCCTGACTCCGATCATGCACCCCTTCCAGCGGAGACTGATGCTGCTCTCCTTGTACACGAGACAGAGTTGCATAATCAGCATTTGGCAGACATTTTTCGTGATGATTTTGGCATCGAACTTCATAATACCGAACCCGCCGCCTCTACAGCTCGAAAGAGAAACTTCGAAGGGCGCCTTAAGCCCTCTAACACGACATCCATCGACTTGGATTAGTTACTTCGAAGCCATGGCAGTCCCTCGATCTGACTCTTGGTTCGATTTCCTTTGCGAGGGCTCGACGCAGAATTTCACTGCACCTGTGCCGAGTTCTATGCTCGCTGAGTTCCCCGAAAGAGTCCACGACGAAGCCCGAGTACCCCTGTCCTCGATCAAACGCCAGATTTGCCCCCGAATCCTCGATAACAAGAACTGCAACATGCAGAACTGTGTGCACCTACACCCCGACTTCCTGAACAAGAAATGGGTGGTGCCGAATCTAATCTGCCACAAATGGTTCCAGGGATGCTGCGAGTACCACAACACATGTTGGAACCAACACGGACTTACTTTCGATGATGCCATGCGACGAGCTGTTGTCCTACAACGACAACTCCGACGCGGTGAGCCTCCGTACCACTACTCCTCACGAGGCGCTTTCCTCGAGCAAGTGACTCGAGAACAGGCAAAGGAGTGGATCATGGACACGATGGCTACCTTTCGCCACACCGAGATGCGCAAATTCAACTTCGGCACCAACTTCTCCAAGTACTACGACTTCGAAGCATGGGACAAATCCGACGCTGCGGCCAGACTCCGACAAGATATGGCAGAGGGCAATCATCGAGGACGTCTCCCCGACGAGCACGCGATGACTCTCGACCCCCCGCGACATGGGGACAACCTCCGATCACACCACGAGGGAATATTTTTCCCTCCTCGGCATCGCGATTCCCTCCGGCAGCTACACCGTCGACTGCTCCTACGAACCCAACACCATCGGCGGCACCTTCGACAGCACCTCCGAGCAATACGCCGAGGCGACCATTCTTCCAGCTGAGCACGGACACAGACTCCGATGCCCCTAGCTTCGGTCGATCTACCCGAGCTGCCTTCCGCCCCGGCGATGGAGCAGCTCGCGGTTCAAATCGACCATTGTCACCGGCAAGATTCCCTCGACGATCGCAATCACCGGCTAAACGATGGCTCGACAACACGCCGGTAATC